TATCCATTTTCATAAAATATTAGCAAGTAATAGAGATAATTCCAACTTTTTGTAAGATACCATAAACAAAATAATAGACTGGGAGATTTATTAATATTTGAAACTCATATAAAAGATCAAAGAGTAAATCATTTATTCAGCAGTCCCCAACCTTTTTGGCATCAGGGACCAGTTTCATGGAAGACAATGTTTCCACAGACTGGGGGGAAGAGGGGTGATGGTTTTGGAATAATTCAAGTGCATTACATTTATTGTGAACTTAATTCTACTATTACCACTTGTGATATTTAACGAAATAATTATACAACTCACCATAATGCAGAATCAGTGCGAGCCCTGAACTTGTTTTCCTGTAACTAGACGGTCCCATCTGGTGGTGATGGGAGACAGTGACACCTGAAATGTGTTGCTTATGTCCAGCTTACTCCGTAATCTCGTTTTGGTTGTTGTCACTGCAGAAAACCCTGCTTCACAAAGATAGGATGTTGGAAATGGAAGCAGGCTTTTCAGTGCTTTTGTGGCAATCTCAGGATATTCTGCCTTGACTTTAATCCAGAATGTATGGAGATTTGAAGTAGTCCCAAACACACTTTTAAGGCCACTGTTATGTGTGATCTCAAGCAGTTCATCCTCTTCTAGCATGGACAAAGTTGATTTACCTGGCTTATTCACAAATGGGTTGTGGATCCATTCCTTCCCAGTTCGGGGGTCTTTTGTAGTTGAGAAGTAATGCTCAAACACTTTTGAAAGCTGAGACAGGTGATCATGCACCAGCTGGGAGAAAGTAACGCCTGGCTCAGTATCTTTCAGTATTTCAGCTAATGTTTGAAACATGTCAAAAATCCCAATGTTCATTCGTCACCCCCATAATTCCACTTTGACTTTGAAAGCAGCCACTTTATCTGCCAACTTGAACTAGTTGTCATTTTCCCCTGAAGCGATAGACTGAGTTTGTTGAGCAGGTTAAATATGTCACACAAATAAGCAAGTTTTTTGACTCATTCTGTGTCATTGAAATGTACTGTCTATGGTGATTGTTTTTCTAAAATACATTTCTGGACTGGCTCTCATAACTCAAAAACTCTGGCCAGTGATCTACCTTTAGAAAGCCATCTCACCTCTGTGTATAAGAAAAGACGTATGTGCTCTGTGTCCATCTCCTCACAGAGCTGTGCGAACGGACGTGAGTTAAGGGCACTTTAATGTGGCTGGTAATTTTAATCACATCTGTAAAACATTGTTTAATTCAGGTGACATATTTAGTCTAGCCAGTATTTCTCTATGAATGACATAGTGTGTAGACTCACATTCAGAAGCAACCTCCTTGGCCCTGAGTAGTGAAACCAGGAGCCTTCCAGTCATGGCAGCCGCTCCATCCGTGCGTATACCGACACAAAATGACCAATTTAGTTTTCCTGATATGTAATCATTCAGACTTGAATAGTTTTGTAGCTGTGGTGTTGGTTGGCAACAAAAGTTCACATACCATATCCTCTGCACATCCTCCTGAAAAATATGTCTCACAAAAACAAGCATGATTGCCTTGTTGTCAACATTAGTAGATTCGTCAACCTGGATTGCATACCACAGTGACTCATTAATCCTCTCCTAACAATAGTGCCTCCATATCCTCTGCTATTTTATCAATTTGTCTAGTTATGGTGCTAGCCAAAAAGGGGACACATGCCTGAACTGCAGCCTCTCCTAAATGTTCCTTAGCAGCAGACAGATCAACTCTTCACCAATAGTAATGGGCTTCTTAGCTTTAGCAATGCGGTTAGCCACTAAGAATGCTGCTCTTGGTGCAGACACATTTGATGACTAGGGGCCTTCAATAATTGCTTCCGTTCTTCATGTTCACATTGTTTTCTTTTGAAAAACTCCAAAGGCTTGTCTTTTAATGCAGGGTGCTTTGTCTCCATGTGTTGAAGCAGTTTTGAAGGTTTCATGGCTACGTTGGATAGTGGGTCGCCACATATCATACAAAGTGGGCTTGGAGAATGTGAATCACTCGTTG